ATATATAAAAGACTAGGGCTGGGGATTTAGCTCAGCGGCACAGCACCTGCCTGGCAAGTGCAAGGTCATGAGTTTGATTCCTGGTACCAGAAGAAAAACAAAAAACAAACAAACAATCAAAAAACAAAACCAGCTTGGGCTATAAAGTGAGCTCAAGGCCAGCCTGAACTGCATAGAGAAACCCTGTCTCAAAAAGAAAAAAAAAAAATTAAGAGAGGTTGCTAAGTTCTATGAAGCAAACTGTAATTGTATGGGCTATGTCTTTTTTTTTGTAATTCATTTTGTTGATAAATTTCCAAATGATTGAATTTTTCCCATATTCCTCAAATAAAATATATTTGTTCATAGTGAGGTTTTTGTGTTGTTAAGTTCAGAACTGAATCTAATTTGGGAATGTTTTTCTGGTTTTGCAAAATGAATTCAGGCGATTTGGTTTACCTTTTCATACTGAGGAGAATTAGCGTAACACAGGAATTATTCCTTGAAGGATTTTTAGGAATACCTGGGGATAACTGTTCTGGGACATGACTAGGGGGTTGGGATGTACATATCTTCAGCAACTGTTTTAGTCTGTTGAAGCTGCTATAATAAAATGTCATAGACTGTTCTATTGTCATAGAACAATAGAGTTATTCCCCACAGTTCTATGGGCATGAACATCCAACATTATTGTACTATGCCAGACATGATGGTACATATCTGTAGTCCCAGCACTTCAGAGTGAGCACTTGGGAAGCTGAGGCAGGAGGATCACAAATTCAAGGTGAGCCTGGTCGATGTAGTGAGTTCAAAGATATCTTGGACTATACAACAAGGTCCTGTCTCAAATAAATTAAAAACAGAACCAGTATCAGTGTGATAGCTTGGTTGAATGTTGGTGAAGGCTGTCTTTCTGGCCTTTTCCAGGTGCCCTCCTTCTGGCTGTATCTTCAAATGTCAGAATTAGAGTTCTGGTGCCTCTTTTACTTCTTCTTTTTTTTTTTTTTGGTCTTTTTGAAACAGGGTCTTACTATGCAGTTCAGGCTGGCCTTGAGTTCCCTTTGTAGCTCAAGGTGGTCTTGAACTCTCAGCAATCCTCCTGGCTCAGCCTCCCAAGTGCTGGGATTACAGGCATGCGCCACCATGCCTGGCTCCTAAGGACTTCTAAATAGTAGTTCCAACTGAAACTTAACATTCCACTTTCCTCCCCAATGCATGTCCTCTTACGTAAAATACATTTATTCTATCCCGACAAACCTAGATGTCTATTTCAGTATCCACTGTTGTATTAGGGCTGTTTAGAGGAATACATTCAATATATATGTATGATTATGCAAGGGATTTATCAGGCTTACTAGATCAGAAGAGACAGAATCCAAATGGCTGTCTGCTGACTCTGAGATGAAAGAATCCAGAACGGCCATCTGCACACTGGAGAGCTAGAGGCTCCAGTAGCTGCTGAGGCCGGAGGCCTGGAAGCTCACTGCAGAGTCACCGGCACATCTGTATTTGAGGACTGAGGCGTTAGGGCTGCAAGACTGAAGGAAATGGAGACACTATCCAGAGGCAATATGTAGAGCAGAACTTCTCTGAGTCAAGCAGAATACTTCCTTTTTTCCCCCTTTTTATTTTGTCCCAGCTACAAGCCTTCTGGTGCCACCTATATCCAAGGTGGGTCTTCCCCCCTTGTTGGCCTGTGTGTCAGTCATCCACAGGTACCCCCAGCATTTACTAATCTGGTAGGTGGTGATTACTGAAGTCAACTTGACATCACAACAGTCTAAAGCTCAAAAGTTTCATCAAAGGACCTAAATCAGAAATGAGTGAAATTCAAGGGACAGTTCATTCTGAGGCAAAATTCTTCTCCAGCTACGAAGCTGTAAAACCAGACAAGGTGTGTGTCCAACTTTCAGTGACAGAGCATGGATGAGACATTTCAGTTGTAAAAAAGAAACTGTAAGGAAGAAATGCAGTCCGAAAGTAGCCATGCAAATTTCATGAGGTCTTACAGCCAGAGAATCATCCTCTTTGGTTGGATGCTGCCCTGTCCAGGATCCCTGGGATAGCAGTCCTGACTTTGCAGACATGCCAGGCAGTGTTTGCCTCGTCATGGATTTGGTTAATCTCTGAATATCCGAGGGAAGTCTGTATGAGTTCTGAGGAAGATAATTCAATCCATAGCAATACTTAAATTTCTCTGTTCTACAACATGCCCAGGTATCTCCACTGGTACTTGTCATTTACTCGATCAACAACATCCTCACTTTTGGCCTGAGAAACAAGCTGAACAGTCCTGTATAACATCACAGACTCTAGGACACAGAAAGGCCAAGCTGTCAGCTCTCATGCAGTCAGGAAACTTGTTCAACAAGAGTGAAGCCCCCGAGTCATCTGGGCCAGTAATCAGAAGGGTGCTCTAATGAACAGAAATTGTCCCTTTAGGGCCACATGTACAAGGAAACTCCACAACTGCTGATAGGTCTGTTTGACTTTTGACAACAGCATGTACCACATCTGGTTGATTATTTTGATTCATTTGCTTTCTGTAGTTAAAGTTATCTGTAAGGAGGCCAGGTCCAAACAAGACCTCCAACAGTAGCTGCATATGGAGGCCCGGACCTTGCATTAGTGTTACCCTGCCAGAGGAGCCATGGGAACCCACAGGGAGCTACAGATCTCACAGACTCCTACATGTGCCGGTGGGAGCCTGACAGAAGAGACCCTTTAGGTATTATACGTGCCCTTCAGAGCTGAGCCACCCACCCTCATCCTTGCATGGGTACTGTTAAAGATAAAGATGGAGGCTACAGTTCAGACAGATCCCAAGGCCAATTTCCTACAGTTATGTAACTGAAATTTAAAATCATTCTTTCCCTGAAACACTATCACTGAGTATAAATGAAACACAAAACATTTATTTTGTCGTTTTCAGCATGATTCAGAGAAATAAAGCTAATCAACTGTAGACAAACAGTTCTACTTGCCCGGAAAGAGTATTAATGTGTAGTTGTCAATGAGAAAGTAACAGTATCACCTTCCTTCTGCTCTATAAACTGTACTATAACTGATGTAAGCAGAGCTTACCCCTTGGTTTGAATCTCGGAATGTAAGTTTTTCTTGCGTTCATCAAATAGATACGTAAAAGGTTCAGCAACACTCCATCATGAAATGGAGATGCTACAGGTAAGATAGGTACCAGCGGGCCGGGCATGGTGGCGCACGCCTGTAATCCCAGCACTCGGGAGGCTGAGACAGGAGGATCGTTGCAAGTTCGAGACCAGCCTGAACTACAAAGTAAGCTCAAGGCCAGTCTGAACTGTATAGCAAGACCCTGTCTCAAAAAGACAAAAAAAGATAGGTACCAGCGGAAGCTGCATATCTCATAGAAGATTGTTATGCTTTAGAGCTAGAGTGTCCCCCCAAATTCTCATGTGCCTAGAGACAGGGATTCTGGGAGGCGATTGGATCACGGGGCGGTGGGGGGGGGCGTTCAAGCTAACTTGCTGTGAGGAGGCGGGGCCTAGTTGGAGGCGGGTCGCTGGGGGCGTGGCCTGGAGGATCTCCCTCCCTCCCTCCTCCCTTCTCACGCTGTTTTCTGGCTGCCAGGACCGAAGCAGCCTCCTTCC